TAGCTAAGCAAGGGGTAAATAGGGAAGAATTGTTTTGGGCTCAGTTGTGATTCTTGCTTTTCTTTCCTACTTTACTTGTAAGATTCAAGGAGGGGTTGCAGCTCGCGCCTCTCCCTGGGATGTTGTATGAACTCACTCTAAATCTGCTTCTGAATTAATAAATTTAGTATCATTCATTAAAAAAAAAATAATGGTTAAAATTTTGTACCAAGGCAACCATCTAGAAATCAACCTTAAGAAACAAATTGATGGATAGGTAGTGCAAATATAATAACTACAGCTATTTATGTATGAACTACAATGTATTTTAATGCCAATATCCAAGTTTTTTTATAAATAAAGGAACATAGAAGTTCAACAACAACTATTAAAGAATCAAGATAGTAGCAATTCAACAAAGTATATTGCCAAACTACATATAAACAAAATAACAACAGAAACCATGACAATATCTTATCCTAGCTCATAAGAGTTACTTATGTGTAACATAGTGCGTGTATGCTTTTTTTTTTAGAAGGCGTAGTATTTCATTAATGTACAGAAGAGAATTTTTATCAAAACAAAAGAGGTATAAGGTATACAAGGTATCCCTTGGAAAGGTATGAGGATTCCAAGCCAAGAGCAAAGGGTACCCGTAAACCTAATCATTACTTCCTCTTCAGATTTGAATACGCCTTCAAAGATTTTGTTAATTCTTATAGAGTCCAGGAAAATAGCAGTTGGACACATTTACCATAATAATTTGCTCCTTTTACTTAACCCACCAAGGTACCAACTGCAGAATAGGGCCTGAACAGATTCTTGAAAGCATCCTACCACCCAAAAACACTTTAAGACCGCCTTCCAAAGAGAAACAGAAAATTTACAGTGCAAGAAGAGTCTGCTCCCTCTATCCCAGTGTTTTAAAAGTGCAAGGTGCAAGGGCCAATTTGCACCTGAGGCGCAAGGCAAGGCGTGCACCTTTTTGAAGCGAGGCGCAAAAATACAAAAAAATGCTAAAACTAAAAAAGTCGGAAATTTCAAAATAAAATGCCAAA